TCTGATGTAAAAATTTGCTTCCTACATTTAAGGACCACCCTAATGTACATATATGCGCAAATATATCAGGTACGATGCGTAAGAAAGTGTCGGCAGTTGTTGCACGCTGAAATGATAAACACCAAAGCGCTCTCAACTTACACGAGTATACACGTTTTGAGGAACTACTTTGTAGCGGTTGGAAACACATCGGCAAAGCAGCCACAAATCTTTATGATACCGAAGACACATGGCGACAGCAGATAGTAAGGTAAGAAAGGCAATAAGGCGTTACAGCGATGATTGCGTCTGGTGGTTATCACAATGAAATGGATGGCGCGCAAAAAGATTTGGCAGGCTGTTGCCTGATGGTTGAGTGTTGGTTGTTAAAGCTCCGAATGCCGACTGTTGTTGAGAATGGTGTTGAAAGGCTGAAAACGCGTGCGCTTTGGAACTAGATACGCATGCGCAGGCGACTGATTGCACTTTCAATGGCACTCATATATTTATGCACCCATGCGTGAGAGAAAAAAACACGGGGTTTATATTTTATTGACGTTCGTTCAATGCATGCAATAACTGCAAGTAAATAATTCTCAGCGCGTGTAATTGCATTCTTCTATTCATTGCTAATTTAATCTGACAGCAATATCGCGTCAGATGCTACTCCCCTCGCAAGTTAATCAAAACAATTGTGGTATAATTTCACGCCTTGCCGTAGCGCCTTTACTACAATCCCATCTTCCTCACAAACGCATATCGATTTCAAAGCCTTAAGAATCTCTAAATATTTTCTTGAAGTAATTTTTTGTTTTTGCTCACCTGATCGGGTCTCAGACCGGGCGGCACCCATGTGTACTCCTCCAGTGCGCAGCCGCTGTCATCGTCCGAATGCGAATGCCGTTGCATGTCGAGCTGCTGATGGCCGACTAGCTGGAAGGGCGGATGCGCCGACGACGGATGGTGTAGCAGCGAAGGTGGTGAAGGTGATGAAATCGCCGGCGATAGCTGGTGCGGCGCATGTTGGTGCTGCTGCTGTTGTTGTTGTTGTTGCTGCAGAGCGTGCGGCTGCATACCATGCTGCTGTTGATGCTGGTGTTTCAGCGATGAGGTTGAATACTTGGACGAGGAGGAGTGCGCGGAATGTGCCGGTGAATACTGTGGCGGTGCGTGATGCGCCAACATGCCGATTGAAGGCGAGCAATGCGGCGGCGCTGGTGGCGGCAGCTGATGATGTGGTGGCAAATATTGTTGATGCAATTGAGGGAGATGAGATGACGGCGGCAATGGCGGTTGGTGCTGTTGCGGTGGTGGCGGGTGATGAAATTGCCGCTGTAGTGGCAGTGGAGATGTTGGCAGGCCTGTGGCATTCGGGCTGTACAAAGCGCTGGCAGATGAGCTACTGGGTAAGCCACCGGTTGCGAGTAGTGATGATGTTACACCTGGCGCACCAATACCTCCGGCCGATGCTGCTGCTGCGGCTGCTGCACTGGGCGAAAAGTGGCGCGGCAGTGTTGGTATTTTCTGCAAATATGAAACCTGTGTCAGCGGCGTGCGGCTGATTGGCCTGCAAAGAGCAAGAACAAGAAAAAGGAAAAAAAA